CCCGCCCCTGGCGCCGGCTCGCCCCTCGCGAGCGCCGGATCACATTCGGTCCGGTCTACATTCGCGCTCCGGACCCCCGCGCCCCCAGAAAAGCCTCCGAGCGGAGCCACGCCCCTTTCGGGAGGCCCATTTGCACCGGCCTCTCGCGAAGCGGGCGTCTGTCTCCCTTCGGCCGTTCCGTCAGGTGCCGGGACATCCCGAGGCCAAGGCCACGCCCGATCCGGATGCCTCCGAACTTGGCTCCTTTCGCGCAGGAGGCCCCGCTCCTTTCCGAACGTAAGCGGTTCGGTGTTCGGTCGTCTTCAGCTCCCGTCAACCCGCAGCCTGAGGCCCCGCCCCCTCCTGCCGCCAGCGCTCCCCCTATTGGGGAGTCCCCGCCCCCTGGGCACCCGCTGTCGGTTCTCCGCCCGGACAGGCTCACCCCACTCGTGGGCGCGCGGTCCGCCGCCTCGCTCCCCTTCAGAATGTGGCGGCGTCCTCCGATGGAACCAGCTGGTCACCTCGTAAACACCAGCTCCCAGCGCCGGCGGGGCCGCCCCCTAGCAGCGCACCACAAGCGGCTTCCTCCACCGCCGCCCCATGCGGACCCCCTGCGTCAATTTCGTCACGCCGCCACCTCAGCGAAGCGGGAAGCCTGGGACCCGCCCCGCAGGACCGTAGCCCCGCCTTCCCCCTGAAGTGAAACACCTTAGCCCCGCCCCCCGGGACGCACCTCCCTAACCTGAGGCGTATTACCCTGGCCCCGCCCTCCTCCGCTGACGCAGCCTGGGGCCCCGCCCCCTTACGTCCGGACTCTGTCGGCCTGGCCCCCTGAGAATGTCCTGTTACCTCCTCTTTCCTGTGGTCTAAGCCGGTGGCCCCGCCTCCCTAAACGTGAGACTCCGCCCATCAGCCAATCCGGTTCACTTGCACCCAACTATCTCCGAAGGAAAACGAAGCCCCGCCCACCTCCGGTCGAAGTTCTTGGCCCCGCCCACTTCCGAACACAGACCATCGGTATTCGACCATCTCCGAAGAACACCGAAGCTCGTAGCCCCGCCTCCAAGCTGCCTCGAGACTGAGCCAGAAGGAACCCGAAGCGGAGGCCCCGCCTCCTTCCCGGACCAGTCCTGTTCCTCGGAGCCCGAAGCCCTGGCCCCTCCCCTTTCCGAGCACTAAGCCCCGCCTCGCTGTGTATTCTGGTTCGGTGGTTCCGGAGTCCAGGTCCAGTCGGGGACGCGTGCTCCCGGCGCCGAGTGCCAGCTCCTCCACTGCCTCTGAGCCTGTCGGGGGCCGCGCACCCGGCTCCAGATCGCTCAGCGCGTCCGGCTCCCGAGAGAGGCGGGGGCGCGCGGCGGGGAGGCGTGGCTGGCCCGGGGTGGACCTCGGGCCGGGACTGCTCAGCCGCCTCCTGCCTGGCGGGCGGCGCGGACGCCGACCCAGGTGGGCTGGGTGGGAGCGCCCGGAGAAGCGGTGGGGTCGCTGCCCATCTGGGGGTAACGGGGGCGGGGGCGGCGCCGGAACGCGGCCGAGCTCGGGATGGCGTAACTGCCTGTGGCTTCTCCGGGCGGACCTGACCGCGCCGGGTGCGCGCAGCCCGAGTGGGGCTGGGGAGGGAGCCTGGAAGACCCTCGGGAGGCCCGCCCTCGGGGCTGGAGGCAGGAGAGGGGGAGAAGGTGTGCAGGCTGGAGCCGGGCTGGGGGTCGGGAGACCTGCGTGCTCGAAGACGGAAGTGCTGGGGGACCAGATCCTCGTAGGAGGAGGGGGCTGGAGGCCTGGGTTCCCGAAAGAGGGGGCCTACGGGTGGAATCTATTCTTGGAGGAGGAAGGGCCTGGAGGTCCGGATTCTTATGTTCTCAAAGGAGAGGAGCTGAGGGTAGGGCTCCAAGCTCCTCGACAGCCGGGGACCGAGGAGCAGATTCCTGGATCCCTGCAGGGGGAGCGGCTGGGGGTCCCGACTCCTGGGTTCTGACTGTGAACCTCTGCCCCTCCCCCAGACCATGTCGCCAGAGGAGTGGACATATCTAGTGGTTCTGCTTATCTCCATCCCCATCGGCTTCCTCTTTAAGAAAGCTGGTGAGTCAGGTTCCCTCCCCAGTGGAAAATAAGGAGGGGGTGGGGGGACCAAGAGGGGTGAACCCCTGGAAGGCTTATGCTCTCTCTTCTCCCTGCAGGACCTGGGCTGAAGAGATGGGGGGCGGCCGCCGTGGGCCTGGGGCTCACCTTGTTCACCTGTGGCCCCCACACTTTGCACTCTCTGATCACCATCCTTGGGACCTGGGCCCTCATTCAGGCCCAGCCCTGGTGAGGATGCGGTGGGGGAGGTGGGGGGAGAGGTAGCAACCTGTCTCTTCTCTCGAGTCTTGCCTGACCTCTGCCTCACTCTGTGGGCGTCTCTCATTGATCTGTTTCTTTGGGTCATTCGTGTTTTCCTCTCCTGCTTTCCTGGGCCTCGTTCCTGTGTGTGTGTTTGGGTCCTCGACAGCCTCATCATGGATTCAGGAGAGGGCGACATCACTCCTCTGCTGGCCCTGCCACCTCTCATATTCATATTCATATTCCCTCTCCTTCCTCCCAGTAAAAGGTGGATGGAAGGGTGTTCACCCTGAAGCCCGAAGCTCTCTCAACCTCTTCTCATTCTCTTTATTTCTGTGCATTTGTATGTGGCTATGCCTCTTCTCTCAATCTTGTTCATTCTGCCCACACCCCCTGCCCCCCAATTTCTGTCTCTGAAGGTGGGGAGGTCGGGGAGGGCTTGTAGCTAGAACGTGGGGAGGCGGAGGCCGGGTCAGCTCCCAGAGCCCGGCACCACCTCCTCCTACCTCTGCCCCAGCTCCTGCCACGCCCTGGCCCTGGCCTGGACCTTCTCCTACCTCCTGTTCTTCCGCGCGCTCAGCCTGCTGGGCCTGCCCACTCCCACGCCCTTCACCAACGCCGTGCAGCTGCTGCTGACACTGAAGGTCAGACTCCCCTCCACCCTCCCGTGTGCCAGTTAACCCCCCAACTTCACCTCCTCCTCCCCGCCGCTCCCAGGAGGAACAGGGGAGGCGGGATTTTATCTCCCACGCACCCTGGGCGGGGCCTCACCTCTCAGTTCTCACCCTGGGGGAAGAGGTACCTTGAATACTGCATTTCTGGGAGGCCGGAGGCGGAGCTAAGTACCCACCTACACGCCTTCCGGCCTCTTTGGGGCAAGCTGTGCTGTGAAAGAGGGAGACCAGCTTTGGGGGAAGGCACTTATCCAAGGACAGGAAACCAGGACACCCAGGTCTGGCGCTAAGTCACCTGGGAAGATCGGTGAAAACAGCTTCCCAGGCCCCATCCCAGGTCAAAAAGCCTGAGTTCCCACGGGGCGCAGGGCTCTGGCCACCAATCAGTGAGCAGAACAGGCACCCGAGCTAGCGAACCGGGTCCCTTCAGGAGGGAGTTGGGGACAGCAGGCGATGCTTAGGGAGAAGAGGTGGAGGCATGGTCATCAACGTGCAAGGACAGCGCCAGTGGAGGGAGCAGCTGCTGGCCAGCTGTGTGCCGGCCACATGGACAGGTCCCAGAAGGAAGGAGGAGCGGCAGGGACCACACCACGCAGGGCCTTGCTGGCCGATGCGAGGAGTTTGGGCTTCTTCCTGTGGGGGCCCAGATCCCTCGGAAGAGGTTTTTGGTTTGTTGTCAGGAGGGGTAATGTGACCAAATTTGCATTTTTTTCCCAAATTTTATTGATTTTTAGAGAGAGAGGAAAGGGGAGAGAAACAGCTTATTTGTTGTTCCACGTATTTATGCATTCCTTGGTTGATTCTTTTTTTAAATGTATTTATTGATTTTAAAGAGAGATAGGAAGGGGGAGAGCGAAACATTGACTTGTTCCACTTATGCATTCCTTGGTTGATTCTTTTTTTTTTTAATGTATTTATTGATTTTAGGGAGAGAAGAAGGGAGAGAGAGAAACATCGACTTGTCGTTCCACTTATCTGTGCATTCATTGGTTGATCCTTGTCTGTGCCCTGGCCAGAGGTCAAACCGCAACCTTGGCGTAGGGGACGATGCTCTAACCACTGGCCAGGGCAGATTTGCGTGTTTAGAAATCTCGCTCCGGGTGCTTCCAGGCGATTGCAGCAGAAAGGGCGAGATGGGATGCGGTCCAGCTGGCGGCTCAATCAGGCTGTGGGCAGCTCGGTCAGTCCGAGTCCCAACAGCAAACGCCCAATTTAGGATGAGTACGTGCAGGAGCTGAAGGGACAGCTCAGGAGGAACCCTGGCCCAGCCGCTGGGGAGGAGCCCCAGGGGACGACAGGAGGGGCAGGCAGAGGAGCCGGGAAGGAGGAGGCTGCAGAGAGGCGAGCTCCCCCGGAGGTGTCCCTGGGGTCACACCAGCCCACAGTGGAATGAAACCCCAGCCCCCAGTCCTGCCTTCCTCCGTGGCTGGGCAGACTCTGCCCCACGGTGGAGGTGGAGACAAAACTAAAGGAGCAGGGCTTGGGCTCCAGAGACCTGAGGGAATAGATCTGGGGCCTGAACAATTAATGGGATGGCGGTGCCATTGCCTGAGGGGAGCGGATCTGGTTTGGGGAGTGGGTAATACTGTGCATGTGCCCGGTAGACATCTGAATATTGGTCAGAGGCAACTTGATGAATAGGTTTGGGGGAGAGAGATCCCAGCCAGGAGTAGAGTGTTGTTGGGGTCCAGCCCCAGCAGGTCCAGGGGTTCCCAAAGGTGTGAACGGAGTCGGTGAAGAATGAAGGACACGGAGACAGCGTTCAGATGAGATTATCCTACCCAGTAAAGGTTATGTCCTCCCAGCCTCCCTGCTTGCCTTCCCTGGGACTGCCCTGTGTCGGTGGGTCTCCAGGGGTATAGGCTTTGGTGCTTTCCCTGGTGGGCAGACCCCTGGGGATGTGGGCCCAAGTCCCAAATTTATTGCCAACAGTCTTAGTCCAAGTTCTTCATAAGTAGTACATGGTATTTCTGTAACACTAGGGGGTTTTACTGATTTATTCCCTTCCTTAGTCCTGTTAATCCCTAACTCCAGGGAAAAATCTCCACCTGGGGAAACAACCTTTCTCAGGGAGGTGGTCCTGCTTAAAACACATAGCGCTAAGAGGGGGAGCAAACATATGCCATATACGCCAGGTCCCTTGAAACATATGCTGTGCAGATGTTTCTTCCCTGCAGTGACTGTGTCAAGCAGCAAGGGTGGACCGGCTTCCGGCAGAGTGTAGGAGTCATGAGGTGAAGGTGAGGGGTATCTAAAGCCCCAGGCAGCAGGAGAACAAAGAAGGAGGGAACACGGAGAAAGAAGACTAGGCAGTGTTCTCAGTGGTTGGCCTGTGCACTGAAGGGTCATGGATTCAGTTCCCGGTCAAGGGCACACACCTGGGTTGTAGGTTTGACTCCTGGCCCTGGTCAGGGTGCGTGTGGGAGGCAACCAATTAATGTGTCTCTCTCACATCAATGTTTCTCTCTCTCATTTCTTCCCTCCCTTCCACTCTCTAAAAATAAATGGAAAAATATCCTCGGGTGAGGATTAACAAAACAGAACAACAAAAAAAGAAGACAGGTGGGCCCAGAAGTGAGCCCTGGTGAGCACCTGCCATCGATAGAGACTCTAAGATGCCAGATGCTCCCTGGGGAGTAGAACTCGGCTCCCAGCTGCACCCCAGCATCCTTGGCTGCCGAGAGGGGTAGCTTAAGGGAGGAGGTGTGAGGCGGAACCGAGTCTGACTTGTTCCCCACCCCCACCCCTTCCTCCCAGCTGGTGAGTCTGGCCAGTGAGGTACAGGACCTGCACCTGGCCCAGAGGAAGGAAATGGCTGCGGGCTTCAGCCAGGGGCCCAGCCTGGGGCTGCTGCCCTACATCCCCTCTCTGATGGAGACACTCAGCTACAGCTACTGCTACGTGGGAATCCTGACCGGTGAGTGCCTGCTCCCCGGCCCGCCTCTCCCCGCCTCCCCTGCCCCCTCTCCCCATCCAGCATCCGCCGCTCCCACGGTGAGCTTCTGCGCCAGACCCTCCCACTGGACCCAGGGCTCCCCCAGGGGAGACTCTGCCGGTTCTCGGCCTGTGGTTCCGTGTAGCCTTTTGGGAATGACAACTGTATTGAGCTATAATTGACACCTTTTCCCACCATCGCCACGGCCAGTTCGCTGGTGTTCAGTGTGTTCACGGAGTTGTGCAACTGCCCCTGCCGCATAGTGGTAGAACAGTTTCATCACCCCACAGAGAAACACTGCGGCCCTCGCCGGTCTGACTCAGTGGATAGAGCATCGGCCTGTGGACTGAAGGGTCCCAGGTTCGATTCCGGTCAAGGGCACATGCCTGGGTTGCAGGCTCGATCCCCAGTGGGGGGTGTGCAGGGGGCAGCTGATCAATGATTCTCTCTTGTTGCTATTTCTGTTGCTCCCTTTCCCTTCCTCTCTGAAATCAATAAATATATATTTAAAAGAAAAAAGAGAGAGCCCTAACCGGTTTGGCTCAGTGGATAGAGTGTCGGCCTGCAGACTCAAGGGTCCCAGGTTCGATTCCAGTCAAGGGCATGTACCTTAGTTGTGGGCACATCCCCAGTAGGAGGCGTGCAGGAGGCAGCTGATCGATGTTTCTCTCTCATTGATGTTTCTAACTCTCTATCCCTCTCCCTTCCTCTCTGTAAAAATTCAATAAAATATATTTTAAAAAGAAAAGAAAAAGAGAGAAACACTTCCCTTCAGCCATCATCCCCCAAACCTCCTCCAGCCCCAGTCCCTGGAACCACTGATTACCTTTCTGTCTGCGCCGTCCTGCTCACCGTGAGCATTTAGATTAGAATGAACGCACGCGCTGCACGGCCTTTATGACGTGCCAGGCTCCTGACAGCTGTCACCTCTGTCACCCACTGCTCCCTCCCTCACATGGGCTGTCATTTTATCTGAAACAGCCTCCCATTCTCCATCATCGTCCCTCTGCCGGCCCCACCCCACTCAGTGGCTGAGGAGTCCTTGTGAAAGGTGACTGGTGCTGTCCAGCCCCAACAGCTCGCCAGGGTTTCCTAGCACTGAGAACAAACCCCAGAGTCCTCCTGGGTTCCCGGGACGGTCGGTCTGTCTGTCTGTCTGACTCCATTTGTGTCAGAGCCTCTGTGCCCCTCACTGTCGGGGTCTTTGTCCCCCTCTACAATTGTCTGTCCCACTTTTCTTGTCTTTGAGTCCCTTGTCCTCCCCTCTGCTTCCATGTCCCTTTTATTTTAGTTTATTTTTTACATTTTGTTAATCCTCACCTGAGGATATCTTTCCATTGATTTTTTTTATTATATTTTTATTGATTTCAGAGAGGAAGGGAGAGGGAGCGAGAGATAGAAACATCAATGATGAGAGAGAATCATTGATTGGCTGCCTCCTGCACACCCCCTACTGGGGATCAAGCCTGCAACCCAGGCATGTGCCCTTGACTGGAATCAAACCCTTCAGTCCGAAGCCCCATGCTCTATCCACTGAACCAAACCGGCTAGGGCCCCACTGATATTTAGAGAGAGTAGAAGGGAGGGGAAGAGACAGAAAGAGAAACATCGATGTGAGAGAGACACCTCGATGTATGTGCCCTTGACCAAAATCGAACCCGGGACCCTTCAGCCCATGGCCTCGCTCTGTCCACTGAGCCAAACTGGCTAGGGCCCTTCTTGTCCCTTTTACTCTGGGTCTCCAGCCCCTCCCTCTGGGTTTCCCTCCCCCACCCCTGTCTCTGCTTTTCTCTCGGTCTCTGTCCCCCTTCAGCCCCCAGGTTTCTGGCCCTCGCCTCCCCCAGACTTGAGCCCTGCCCTCCGTCCCCGGTCCGGCCGGGTAGGTCTCTGACCGCTGCCCCTGCCCCTCTGCCACAGGCCCGTTCTTCCGCTACCGCACGTACCTGGACTGGCTGGAGCAGCCGTTCCCGGGCGCCGTGCCCAGCCTGCGGCCCCTGCTGCGCCGCGCCTGGCCGGCCCCGCTCTTCGGGCTGCTCTTCCTGCTGTCCTCGCACCTCTTCCCGCTGGAGGCCGTGCGCGAGGACGCCTTCTACGCGCGCCCGCTGCCCGCCCGCCTCTTCTACATGGTCCCGGTCTTCTTCGCCTTCCGCATGCGCTTCTACGTGGCCTGGATCGCCGCGGAGTGCGGCTGCATTGCCGCCGGCTTCGGGGCCTACCCCGTGGCCGCCAAAGCCCGGGCTGGGGGCGGCCCCACCCTCCCATGCGCACCCCCCAGCAGGTCAGGCGGCGGGAGGGCGGTGACCCCAGACCTGGCAGGCCCCATCACCACGGGCTGGCCCTGCCCCTAGCAGGGAGGATAGCGGGGATCGGGGCCAGGGCCACCACCTGTTGTTGTCACAGTGTCGCCCCTGGGCCACCCACAGTTCGCCTTCCCCTGCCCCAGGGAACAGCATTTCTGATACCTGTGGATCTCCCTTGTTGCCAGTGCTTATCACCCCTTGGGATGGCGAGTTGCTCTCTGTCGCTAGGAAAAGAAAGGTAGTATCCTAGCAACCATGTGTGGCCCCTCGGTTGCCATGGAAATGTCACTCCAATAATCCGATTGTTCCTGGTTGTTCAGGATGCCATCGTTAGGCAGTGATGGGTTGCCCTTTGTTGCTAGGGAAACGGTTCCCTAGCAACCATGGTCCACTCCTTCCAGCTAGAAGGGTTGCTCTTTGTTGCTATAAAAATGGCACCAACTTGCCCCTTTGTCGCTTGGAGCCAGCATTTCCTTTCTCCCTCCCCCCAACCCCCAAAGGGACGTTATCACAGCCTGCAGTTGCCCCTGTTTCTAAGGAAATGGCATCCCTGACGCGCTGGCCTCTAGCAGAGGGGACACCATTCCTAGCAACCGCAGGTCGCCTTCCTATGTTGCTAAGGAAGCCAGTTCCCCTGGTAACAATGGATTGACATTGTTGCTAACAAGGCTACACCCCCCAGCTCCTTCACTGCTAGGTAAGTCACACTGCTGGTAACTATGGGCTCTCTTGTTGCTAAGGAAGTGTTGCTCCTGTGTTGCTAGGGAAATGGTGCCCCTAGCAACCAGGAACGGACTTGCCTCTCTATTCCTAGCAACCGCAGTCATCTCAGCCAGGACTGGGGGAGCAGCCACTCCTCGGTGTAAATTATGAAATATTCCTTGATCGGGTGGGGCCGTGCCCAAGCAGACATGAACTGCCATTCCACGTGGGGGAGGTGGCACCCCCACGGGAATTTATTCCACTGCCCTTCTAACCATGGGTGGACCTCCAGTGGCTGGAGAGGACGTCCCCCAGAAAATGCCCGGTGGGAACCAAAGGCTTTTCTAACCCTGCTTGCCCCCCCTCCGAGTGGATGGCTCCCCTCCCGTTATCAGAAGCCACCAGGCACCCAGGTGGGCCAAGGATGCCTCCCACTGCTGGGGGTGTTGGCACCAGTAACCAGGAACCACCAGATTGCTGGGGATGACACTTCCTGAACAATCGTAAGAACCAATAGCCAAAGGCCCTTTCCGGAGCCTTTTCTAAACATCCTAGATCTTGTTGTTAAAGAATGACCTTTCCCTAGCAACAGAGACCATCCAGGCCTCGAACATCTCCCTAGCAACCACGGGCCACCTCGTTGTTAAGGATGCTACTTCCCTAGCAACCGCAGTGTCCGACGACTCAGAGGGGACAGCACTTGGAGGCTTCTCTGAATACACTGAGCTTGGTTGCTAAGGAATGGCCTTTCCCTGGCATCGGGGACCAGTGAAGGGTCGGGTTGCTAAGGACTCGTGGCCTTCAAGGCTTTTTCTCGGGGCCCTGTGGCCAAGAGCACACGGTTGTTGGTGAACTGTGCGCCCCACCTCCTTCCTCCCCAAAAAGGCTCCCTTTGGGCTACCGTTCCCTGTTGCCCGAGCCACTGTGACAGCCAGGGGGCTGTCACCTGCCCTCCACCACCTCCTTAGCATCGGGGCTGGGACAACAACTGGCATCGGGAGGGGGCCTGGCTGAGTTGCATGTCTGTCCCCCACCCCCACCCTCCACCCCCCAGTCTGGAGGAGGCGTCTGCCCTGGAGTACGACTACGAGACCATCCGCAACATCGACTGCTACGGCACAGACTTCTGCACGCGGGTGCGGGAGGGCATGCGGTACTGGAACATGACGGTGCAGTGGTGGCTGGCGCAGTACATCTACAAGACTGCGCCCACTCGCTCCTACGTCCTCAGGTGAGCCTGCCAGCCCCAGACCAGACGGAACTACATCTTCCAGCAGCACATGGGGCAGCCTGCCGCTATCTGGCTGGGCCTCCTCCCCTGAGGGTCAAGGGAGTCGTAGTTTCTTTCTTTTTAAATATATATTTTATTGATTTCTTACAAAGAGGAAGGGAGAGGGATAGAGAGCCAGAAACATCGATGAGAGAAACATTGATCAGCCGCCTCCCGCACACCTCCCACTGGGGATGTGCCCGCAACCCAGGTACATGCCCTTGACCGGAAACAAACCTGGGACCTTTCAGTCCGCAGGCCGACGCTCTATCCACTGAGCCAAACCGGTTAGGGCTCATCCAATATTTCTTCAGTGGAGACTTTGTGCAATACATTATCTTTCAAACTTTAGGAAGTAGGAACTGTTATCCCCATTTGAAGGATGAGAGTAAGGCTCAGACAGGTTAGGCAACCTCCCGGGTGTCACTCAGCCTTCCTGGAGCCACCAGATGAGGTCAGGATACCCAACGAAGCTTTCTCATAATGAAGCCATTACAAAAAATGGTAGTGGCAGTGCTACAAAAATAACACACACAGGGTTGGCGGCCTGCCACAAGGAAAGCCCAATTCATGAGGCAGGTGCTGGTGCAGAAGGAAAGAGGTTTATTCAGGTGCCGCACAACCGGGGGGAATGGTGGACTCCCATCTCCAAGACCATCTCCCCTTCCTGCTCAAGCCCACAGTGCTGACAGGGAGGGGAGGACTTTTTAAAAATACCCAATTATTTTGCTAGCTTTTGATGGGCCGGGGTTCTGTCCATTCATCTTTCTAGCTTTTGGCGTGCTTGGCGTAAGAACCTCCCCCTGAGCCCTCATGGCCAGTGGGGGAGACTTCCCAGAGCTCCCTGAGTATCTGCAGCAACAGTGGGAGTTCTGGAAGCAGACCTACCTGAGTGTATGATCCGATTTACATTATAAAGACCACCCCTGGCCTTGTGTGGGGAATGGAGTGGAGGGGGAGAAAGGCAGCAGGAGGCAAAGATGGGGGACAAGTTCGGAGGCCTTTGGGGCTGGCTGAGTGGGAGATGAGGATGTGCTGGAATAGAAAACAGAAGCTGAAGACGTGGGTGGGTTTGAGAGCTGGACTCAGGCCTGGCACGGACTGGATGTGGGGCATGGACAAGAGAGGAAATGAAACACAATGCCGGGGGGTGGGTGTGGGTCACCGAGGGCAGGGAAAGGCCGTTTCCTGAGAAGGGAACACAGCAGGAGGGAGTTTCGGGTGTGGGTGGGTGTTAGGTTCCCAGCTGGGGTTCTTGGAGAGGCAGTCAGTGATGTGGTCCTGGGCTTCGGGGAAAGGCTGGTGGGAGAAGTGGACACTGGAGCATCCTCAGGTAGAGGCGATATTAAAGCTCGGAGGCTGAGTGTGAGGCCAAAGCCCAGGACGCTCCCGTGTTTAAACCAGGGGTTCTCAACTGGGGCGCTGGTGCTGCCCCCAGGGTGCATTTGTCCATGTGCGGGGATGTGCTTGTCATAACGAGAGGTGCTTCTAGTGGGCGGAGTCCAGGGTGCTGCTCAGCATCATAGGATGCTCACAGGACGGTCACACCAACAAAGAGCCCCCCAGCCCCCAATGTCAGTGGCGCTGAGACTGAGAGAGACTGGTATGGACCAGGAACGAGGGGGAGCAAGGACGCAGCATGAGACCGGAGGTCAGGCAAGTGTTCACTCCGGAAGGGAGCCCAGGGAGCCGGACGTTTCAAGGAGGAATCCTTTGTGTCGGATGCTTCCAGGGGCTCAGTTCCATGAAGGCAGGTGGGGCCTCTGGGTTGGGCGTGATGGGAAGCAGCAACCTTGCCCGGAGCAGTGAGGAGGGTGGAGGTGAGAGCCCGCTTGGGTGCGTTCAGGAGAATGGAAGGAGTCCTGGCCGGTGTGGCTCGCTTGGTGGAGTGTTGTCCGGTACACCCGAAGGTCGCAGGTTCGGTTTGCAGTCGGTGTACACACCCGGGTTGCGGGTTTCATCCCTGGTCAGGGTGCTCACGGGAGGCAACCAATCAATGTTTCTCTCACATTGACGTTTCTCTCTCCCTCTCCCTTCCTCTCTCTCTAATACAAAATAATAACCATCAATTAAAGAGAATGGAAGGGAGACCTTGAAGAAGAGCACGGACAAGTCTTTGGAGAGTCAGGGAGGCAGAGGAGGAAGCAGATCGGATGGAGGACAAGTTTGAGATGCTGTCCTGTTCCTCCCCGCCCCCCATGGGGAAAACATCTTTACATTCTACCAACCCAGGGAATTCTCTCTCCACCGTCAGTAGGAGAGAAAGAACACAGTTCTGTGGACTGAAGGGCCCTGGGGTTGATTCCGGTCAAGGGCAGGGACCTCGGTTGCAGGCTTGATCCCCACCCGGCCCTGGCCGGGGCATGTGCTACAGGCAACCAATGGATGTGTGTCTCCCACATTGATGTTTCTCTCTTTGTCTTCCACTCTCTCTAAACATCAATGGGAAAATACCCTCTGGTGAGGATTAACAAAATACCAGAGCAGGAAGAGGTCCCTACGCCCCCAACGATGGGGTGGTCAGCACTGTGTCCCCCATGAGGTGGTTTTTGACGCTTCAGGAAGTGTCGGAGGGAAATGTTGATGCCATGGGCAGGACAGAACACACACACACACACACACACACACACACACACACACACACACCACAGGCCACACTCAAGCTAAACGGAAGAGTTCCGAGTCCTCCATAGAAGTGAAAATCAGAGCCCAAATATGTGGGCTTTCGAGGGCCCGCATTCAGGGTGCACAAGGAGAGGGGGCCATAGCTAGAGATGTCAGAGCCATCACAGAGCAGGATTGTAACCCTGGGTCCCCAAAGAGGAAGGGGGTGCTGAGGGGGGTTAACTGGGTTCCTGAAAAGAAAGTAGAGCCTCCTGGGTCTGGGGGAGGAGGGGGCTGAGGCCTGACACCCTCCTTCCCCTCCCCCCCGCACCCCTCCCCCGCAGGAGCGCCTGGACCATGCTGCTGAGCGCCTACTGGCACGGCCTGCACCCTGGCTACTACCTGAGCTTCCTGACCATCCCGCTGTGCCTGGCGGCCGAGGTCCGGCTGGAGGCGGCGCTGCGGTGGCGGCTGGGCCCGGGCGGCCAGCAGGCCTGGGACTGGGCGCACTGGTTCCTGAAGATGCGCGCCTACGACTACATGTGCATGGGCTTCGTGCTGCTCTCCCTGGGCGACACCCTCCGCTACTGGGCCTCCGTCTACTTCTGCATCCACGTCCTGGCGCTGGCGGCGCTGGGCGTCGGGCTGGCCGTGGGGGCGGGCGGCCCCGGCCGGCGGAAGGCGGCGCCCCAGGCCGCCGGCCTCGCCCCCGAGAAGCTGCGGGAGGAGTGAGCTGCCCCCGCGCCTCCGCCCGGCCAGGCCGCCAAGCTTCTGCCCGGGATGCCGTGACCCCGGCAGCCGGCTCCTTCCCGGGAAGCCCTGGATTCGGGGCCGGGGCCTGGAGAGGATCCCGCTCCGCGCAGCACCCGCACAGCCCAGCTCCCCGGGCCCCAAGGCGCTGCCCAGACAGGACGCCCCGCCCCGCAGCACCTCCCGGTTTCCGGGCTCCCGGACAGCAGGGCCCGCGGCCAGGCCCTCGGGGTGCGGGCACCGCTTCCCCGTGGCTTCCGTTCCACTTCTGTGTCCTCACACCCGCGTCTCGGGCCGGGAGGGAACATCGCCTCCGGTTTCCCAAAGGGGAAACTGAGGCCGCGCCCGCGCGCATGTGCGGTTCTCTCCCAATAAAGCGTTGTGCACGGACTGTGTGGAGTGTCTGGGGGGTCCCTCCACGTGGGGGGCAGGGGCCCCGAGCCCGGAGCAGTGCCCGCCGGTGCCGTGGACTCCAGCTCCCAGCACCCCGCCCGCAGCAGCGGCGCGCAGGTGGAGGAAGTGCCGCTCCCTCCGGCCCAGGTGCACCTGCCCCGGCCCCGCCTCCCGGGCGGTGCCCTCCGCGCTGGTCGCCAAGGACGGAAGCAGCCGCTCGGGGCCATGGAGGAGAGCCCGGCCTGGGAGCCCCCGGGCTGGGGCCCCCCTGGGAGGTGGCCGGCACCCCGGGAGGCCAGAGCAGGTGGGGGCCAGCTGGGCCCGCGGGTGGGCGAGGGGCCCTGATGAGGCCGGACAGCTGGGTCCCGAGGGCGGGAGTGGGAGGGGCGTCCATTCCTTTCCCAGGTTTCTGGGGGGAAGGGAATCCGAGGCTGGGAATCCAGGGCCCAGCGGAGGAGTGTGGGGTAGGGGCTGGACTCAAATATCTGAAGAGTGGGAGGGGCCAGGGGCCCCAAATAATCAATAAAAGGGAAAAGGAAGTTGAAGAGTGAACTCCTGGGGCCTGAAGGGTACGCACTGAGTCTGAAGGAGGAGGAGGGGCTGGGGCCCTGGACTCCTGGGTCTGAGGGAGGAGGGGCTGGGGGCCTGGGCTCCTGGGTCTGAGAGAGGAGGGGTTGGGGGCCCTTGGGGTCTGGGGCTCCTGGGTTCTGAGGGGAGGAGGGGCTGGGGGCTGGGACTCCTGGGTTCTTAAGGGAGGGAGGGGGCTGGGGGGCTTGGACTCCTGGGGTCTGAAGGGAGGAGGCTGGGGGGCCTGGGGCTCCTGGGTCTGAAGGGAGGAGGGACTGGGGGGCTTGGACT